TCAGCAAATTGTCAGAATGGATTTTCCCAATCACAGGAGCGAAATGTTGAACCGTGTGCATCGAATACGCAGGCATCGGCTCTTACGAACTAGAGTGAATAACAATTCCATCAGTTCAAACTCACTTGGATTTAGGTGCCATAGTTAGCAACGATTTAGAAACTACGTCACACTGTCGTGCGTTGGCTTTACGTAGTTTCAGATCCTTATGGGAAATTCGCAGAGCCTTTACTAGAATCACCAGAGATATGTTCACCTCCTTATATACATCTCTGGTGAGGTCAAGACTGAAAACCTGTATCCAGGCAGCCGTTTCTTTGTCTTAAAAGGGACTCACATATTCTGGAAGGGCTTCAAGGGAAGGCAACACGTATGCTTCTCGGCATGGCAAATTTATCATTCGAGGAAAGACTAGACAGTTAACATCTCTTCTCCCTATCATACCGTAGGTAGAGGGAGATTTAATCACAATGTTTAATTTTTTTAATGATGACCTCTAACCTATTCTCTCTTTTCCTTCCCACTAGGTCGGAATACCTTAGAGAACGCAGCAAGAGAGTTCAAAAGCCCAGAAGAAATCATATTTTCGTGGAGTACTGGTTCTCACACTGATTCACAAACTCTTGGAACCGACTCCCAGATGAAGTGGTATCTGCAACCTTAACTGATTCATTCAAGAAAAGTTCGGACAATCACAGAAATTTACTTCTATCCCCAACCAATAAATCTGAATCTTAACAAGCGCACAAGTTGAATATTAGCGGGGAGGTGTTTTCGCGCGTCGATCTCGTTTTTACTGAAGACTTGGAGTGACTATACATGCAATGTTAATCTGAGCTAGGAATACTGCTTCATCAAATCTCACATCCTTAGTATGTGTTATAAGTTATTTTTGTCGATATATGTAAAGTAGTACTTGTAAATTCCTGGTTACATTCCCAGCTAGCATTTTCTTCGGGCGCATTGCAGAATTTTTGGGCAAAAAACTTCGGGTAAATCTACTTACGTGGGGCACTGTCCCGAAGTCTGCCCCAAAAATTCTGCAATGCGCCCTAAGTCTGCCCCGAAAAGTCTGCAATGCGCCCTTACTTAATATGACTAACTGCGACCTGGGATAACGCGTCTACGTTCCTCATTTAACTATGCTAAATGGCAATTGCCATTTCAATCAAATTGAATTTATAGTGCAGTATAAACTACAAAACGTAGTTTGGTTGAATGAGTTGATAGATCTATTCACAGTTATAAGTATATGAATATCTAATATAGTGAATCTTACCAGTCATGGATACTAAATAGATTCTGGGAGAAATACGTCTTACGGTTTAACGCAGAATCACCCCCTTTCAAATACACTGCCGTTTCTACTGATTTTTGATTACAAGTATGTTCTACGATGCGCCCGAAATCAATGCCAGCTGAGTACTTTTTCACATAATATGAAATTTGTTGGCAGTCAACATAAGGCAGCTGCCTTATGTTGGTGGTTTTAATCTTTATATGTATATAGACTTTCGTTTACAACAATCAGATTTAAATAAGATAAGTTGATGGAAACGGTTTCCTAGAAGGAACAAGATTGTTGCTAGTTTTTGGACATGGTAATCAAGTCTAAGATTGTAATACAAGCTCATTTAGTTATTACTATTATTATAATAATTATTATTATTATATCCTTTAATTCCTGGAGGAACATAGGGCTTCAGCTGCGCGTCTCCATTGCCTTCTGTTTTCTCCAATTTTTCACTCCCCCCAATCACATGCTTTCATCTCCTCCTCACATGACCTCCAAGTCACCCTGGCACTGACGACCAACTCGTCGCTTCCCTTTCGGGTTCCACTCGAGAGATGGCTTGTCTAGTGATGTCACTTGATGGTTTCCTCAGAGTATGGCCAATCCATCTCCATCTCTTCCTGCCTATTTGTTTCGCAATCGGTTCCTGGTTGGTTCGCTCCCAGAGATCTTTGTTGCTGATCTTTTCTGGCCATCTGATCTTGAGTATTGAGCTAAGACAACTGTTAATGAAGGTCATTTAGTGATGCTTTGAGGAAATTATACTTTCCGATAAAAAGGAAAATTTAACTCGTAGTCCATGGTTAGAAATTTATGAGTTTGCCAGTAACCTATAACTGTTTACATGGAATTCAATGCATGCTCGGTGTAGAACGCTACACACGCTTGTCAGTTTTGGTCCTTAAGTGTTTGAAGTGCTTTCGGTCGCATGAAGTTCTCTTCAAAAATACCATATACGACTGTAATTTGGTCTCCTACTTTTATTCTTTATGTGGTTGTTTTCTACTGGATGCTTACTTTTTTCAACTCTGCTTCGTCGATACAGAATAATAAGCTTTTGTCAGTAGGCTTTTCGATGTAAGATTTGGGTCTAATCATATGGGTGTTTTACATAGTATGAAATTAGAGTTTTGTCGGGTTTTTGAGTCGAATTGTCCCTTTGACTTCATATTAACATTTTGTTTGTGAACATAAGCTCTTGGAAAATAAGTTACAGCTAATGATGATCAGTTGATTCTCAAACCACTTTTTGCAATTTATAAGTTCTATTTTATGTGTTTCTGTATTTAGGGATCTCAGTACCCAATTTACACCTGTCCTTTGAGGAAAAATGTGGAGCCGTGCAAATAGACAACCGGTATTTACTTTCCAAACATTTTATTATTCTGTAGTATGTTCATCCAAAACTCGAAGGCATCTGTGGTGACGATAAAGGGGAGGTACTCAGGAAGCTTAGGTTGTTATGTCATTATGAAAGTGAAGTAAGTTACGACAAGTTTTGTGATCTGTTTAAGACTAAAATGGCAAATCTGGAGGAAATTACGAATAAATGGAGACGCGCAGCCTGTGATGCATTACATGAACTAGTTTCTACATCTGACGAAAAAATAACAGAACGAGAACTATTGCACAAAGTGGGGATTGATCCTGCTACTATTATGATGCCTTCAGAAGACATATAATTTTACGGACCTATCTTTGTTCTGAAGTAAATTTTGTGCTTTGGCGTCTAGTTTTTGGCTATCAGACACTGAGTTTATTTATAAATGTACTGGCTGATGCTGTTATATCCTTAATCCTGATGCATATTGTTTGATGGGTTCACTGACAGTTGGCGCTGCTCTTAATGAGAAGTTATCACAGGTTAGCATGTTGATTGTGTATACCGGTATGCTATTAAAGCAGTTCATAACACACGTAATATCTTTTCTCGCAAACAATAATTGCTGTAATAAGAACTGAAATCTAATTTTTATGGCTTTACTTTATCTTAACGATTGCAATTGATTCCTCTTATGCAGTATACCATCTCTACCAGAAAATCAGCCTGAGTATGAAGTAGATGAATTCAAGGGGAACAAAAAGTAGTGACAGTAGAAAAATTCAAATCGTAACTCTAGAAGTTAGGCAGTATTATGATTGTCTCATCACCACGTGGCCAAATATTTGAAGAGAGACAATTCCTACAGTGTCGATGGAACTAATGAGATGGTCACTCCCCTTCAAAAATCATATAATAAATAGCCATGAGAACTAGGTCTGTTAATTTTGAAAATCAGATCTATTATACACTTTTTAAAATCGTAAATCTTGTGAGTTTGTTCATGTGTTCAGGTTTCCGAGCGTGAAGCACTTAGTACAAACATCTAACACTGACTTTAGTATATAGCCAGTGATAAATATCATTTGATACCGACTACCAGACGGACCAACACTTGTAGCTAGATTTGTATGCTGAATCAGGTTGTACATCTAGTTCTGCCAAGTGGTAGAAATATCCACTTACTAGATTTACATAAGGACATCCATATTTTTTTCACTGCTAATGTTAATTGTCATTTCTTAAGCATGTACGTTCATTGTTCATATGAATACTGCAGTATAATTTTTCCTAGCACTACCACTAGAGGCAGAATGCATCAGAATTTATCAGCAAAAGGAATATACGAGCGACTGGTTGACAAGTAAATCAAAAATCATGCTGTTGATGTTCAGGAAGAATAGATGTCTGCTTTTTGCACCATTAGGTTTGCAATACCACATCATGATCTGATACCTAGATATCTATATTATCCTATCTATACAAGTACTAAACATTGTGGTTTCACGCCATCTGCTGGATACCGGTAGTATTGAGTACAACCTAACTGCTTTAAAAATATCTACGACCGAGAGAGACCCAGCCTCCTGCTTTTTTGATGAAGCAGTTGCTATTAAAAGTCTGATACCAAATCCATTCATGCAGAAGGAGGAAGCCGTTCTGATTACCGATCATATTTATAAAATAAAGTGATACGATCTTATCACATCACTTAGTCTTCTATATCTCGTATCCTGTTTCACACTTTATTTTTCATGTGAACGTCTCCCACTGCCTTTGCTATCGTAAAAGTCTCTGTAGTTACGTGCTAACGTATTATTTCTTGCTGAACTTTGTGTTCACATTTCGAACTCTTCCATCATTTGCCTAATAATCTGACAAATGGTCAGTCTTTTTAATACTTATTAACTGAACTTACATCCTTCCATATTTACGTTACTTATAGTTCTATCAATAACTTGTTATGAACGGGATGAAGGTGTGTTTGGACATTTTTTTGTAATTTACACATTTTCAGTACCATTTGGGTTGAAAAGAACCCGGGGAAATGCTAAAAAGTTGAACTCATACTACCCTGATAGATTCGTTGTCCTTACTTTCCTTATGTTTCTCAATTGGGAGAATTGTATGAAAGTTATATTTTACATATGCAAACAGCACTCAGGAAAAGACTTTTCACAGTCACCATTAGTTGTACAGTTCCTTAGCAGTAATTTCTTATTGTATTAAATTCATTCGAATGGGAGTCGAAGTAATTCACAAAGCAAGTTGCCATCGGACTTCATCATTATTAGGATGTCAAGTGATAAGCTCATCCAAGAAGCTGGAGATTTCGCCATACCTCTCCTGATGTTTTAAATATGATGTGCAGAAATCATATAATATATACATATCAATTTGCATGTATTTTGAAAATATCACAAAGGCAACAAATATTATCGTAATATATACTATACATATAGAAAATAGCATAGTTATCTAAATAAATTTTAAAAGAAAATAATTGCACATTCTTCATAGCTAGTAGATGTGTAGTACACCTTTACAAAGAAGGAGTGAAATGTCATAGATCAGTTATATCTTCTTTAATTAAATCTTTTATATAATCAGGATTCAATAGTTCCGGTAATCCACCTTCAGGGAGCATATTGCTGAAACTAGTATTAAGAGGAAGTTGACGCCAATCTTCTCCATCAGGATTATTATTATTATACTCCATGTCGTTTGCTGTGTACAGAAAATAAAAAAATTAAGGTGACTGTAAGAACAAAATAAATGTGACTATTACCCCGCTAATATTTAGTATCACAATGCGTATCAGCAAAATGTGCTTTATGCGAATTGCCAGTTTCAGAAATAATCATGACAGAGAGGTACTGATAATTAACTAGGACCATGCGTGTGAAGACAATAATACACTGGAAACTCTACATATTTTATTCCTTTTATGAAATCCAGTTCTGCAAATAGGAGTACTGCGGGTACCGAGACAGTCCATTGTTCAAAATGACATATGGGAATGGAGTTTGAGCGTTACGGAATAAAAACAAAGTAGTTGGTAGTAGTACCTCATTAGTTCAGTGTCTACTATCATTAGCCCGAGTGCTCCTTGGTCGGTTAGTACCGACCCACCCACCGAAGCGGAGGTCCGTAAGGAACTCCAAGTTCTGAAACGCCATAAGGCGCCCGGCCCAGACAAATTACCCCCGGCTCTTTTTAAAGATGGTGGCGAGACTCTCACAATGGCTCTAACTGGGTTGTTCAGGAAGGTGTGGGAGACAGAGAGTGTACCATCAATGTGGAACGAAGCCATTATCGTCCCCATCTTTAAAAAGGGTCGACGTAATTCGTGTGACAATCATAGGGGTATCAGTCTGTTACCAGTCGCGTCTAAAATATTGGCTGCTGTCTTGCTTCGCAGACTGTGCAAAATACGTGAAGGATTGATTCGCGAAGAGCAGGCTGGGTTTCGTTCAGGTCGTGGATGCATTGATCATGTGTTCACCCTTCGTCAGTTGTTGGAACACCGCCACACGTATTGCAGGCCAACGATCGTTGTGTTTCTTGATATTAGGGCTGCCTTCGATTCGTTGGACAGAACTGTGCTCTGGAACTGTCTGTTAGAGAGAGGTGTACCTGAGAAATTTGTTAACATCCTGAAAGCCCTATACAGAAACACCTCAGGTAGAGTGAGGGCATACAACCAACTATCACCACTGTTCCCAACCAACAGTGGGGTTAGACAGGGTTGCCCAATCTCTCCATTTCTCTTTAACTTTGCCATCGATGACATTCTGGAGTCAGCTCTGAAGGATGTGCGTGAAGGTGGTGTAGATCTGCTACCTGGAGATAGACTTTTCGACCTCGAGTATGCAGACGATATCGTCTTACTGTGCGATAGCATGCAGGCTGCCCAAATCGCACTTAATCAGTTGGCGATCAGTGTCTGTAAGTATGGTATGTGCTTTGCGCCGTCTAAGTGCAAAGTACTGTTACAAGATTGGCAGGAGCCTGTACCTGCACTCACTCTTGCGGGTGAACCGCTTGAAGTTGTTGATAAGTTTGTGTACCTGGGTAGTTGTGTGAGTGCTGGCGGAGGGGTGACGGATGAGATTTCCAACCGTATAATGAAGGCTAGGGTGGCATACATCAACTTGAGCCACCTCTGGCGCCGTCGCGACGTTAGCCTGGCTGTCAAAGGTCGGGTATACAATGCTTCGGTGCGGGCTGCCCTGCTCTACGCCTGTGAAACCTGGCCTCTCCGAGCTGAGGATGTGCGGCGACTCTGCGTGTTCGATCACCGCTGTCTCCGCAGGATTGCTTGCGTTCGATGGCATCATCGCGTGAGTAATTCTGAGGTTCGGCGGCGTGTGTTTGAACAAAGTGGAGATCACCATTCATTGAATGTCGTCATCTGGAAACACCGGCTCCGGTGGCTTGGACATGTGCTCCGAATGTCACCCCAGAGGCTTCCGTACAGGTCTCTGTTCGCTAGCCCTGGGACGGGATGGAAAAGGCGGAGAGGTGGTCAGTCCATGACGTGGCGTCGTGGGATGAAGGATTTTTGTGCTAGATTAGCATCGGTTGGTGTGTCACGACTCCCTGGTTGGGGTCCGAGAGATAGCTCAAATCGATGGCTCGAAACGTTATCGGATATGGCCAAGAATCGTAATCAGTGGCGAATGTGTTGCGATTTCCTTCTTTCTTCCCTTCCCGATGATAGCTAACGAACACTGTTTGAACTTGTTAAGCATGACTGTTTTCCTTCCAGATGAAGTTCTTTATCCGTTCTCTACTTATATATATTTTTCTTTTCCTTCCTTCCTTTTTTTTGATCTATGTTGTTTTATTATTATTGTGTGGCGCATCTTTCTTGGTGCCATATTGTACCAAGTTTTTTATGCGTTTAAATAATAATAATAACCTCATTAGTTCCGAATGACGATGTTTTTGTAGCTGGTCTGTTGAGAAACCAAATGAATAATAAATTCAAGACAATCAAATAAACTATATCTAGGAAGGACAACTAGGATTCTTTCAAAAGGTCTATGGAAATAATACTAATTACTATGATGACAATGTATTATCTTAAGTTTGAACTCTGTTTTTTGATAACGTAGTAATCATTCAATGTGTAGATGAATTTAGGACAAAAAATTATTACAAAAAGCTGAGCAACTGCACTCCTTTATATGTAAGCATACAAACCACGATTTTCTCGCAACAGTGCTAATTGTAAACTGACAAATATCAATGAAATCACTATGCAGTTGAATTACAAACACAGATATACACAAATCGTGCGTGCAATTAATACATATTTCGCCACCAAACTAGTCGATATGATCACCATTTTATGAAGGTATAACTGTTAATAAAATGCTACAATCGCACATTAAAGACCATGTGGAACTAACTAGTTATCCAGAATATACGTTTAAAATGCATAATGTGATTATTTTCCTTTTAGGACATTTTCAGGTTAAGGAGCACGAAGCTCACTTCGTGAAGTTTTGTCAGTTATATAAACATTAGCAACAAGACTAGATAAAAGTAAACAGTAAGACGTACTCCGATTTGATGAATCAAGTGTTTGATTAATTTCTCCAGAAATCATTTCGTCTGTGTCAACAGAAAAAACCGGACACTGGTTTGGTAGAGGGTCTTTACTGTCAGGACATTTCGTGGAAGGAAAATACGTTTGATTATTAGCTACCGTCGTTATTGATGTATTGCGCTCATCTTCACTCGGCTGAGGGAAAATACAAAATATAATCAGTCGTAAATATATTTTCTATAATATTTTAAGTTAGTGTTTGATGTAATCGTAAATTCGTACGTATATAAAGAAAGTTCAGTTACCTGTGCTGATTTGTAGGATGTGCTAAAAGCGTTAAAATGACTTTCGATGTTAGGATTTGACAGTTTACTGTAGCTGTCGATTTCACGTGCTAGTGCTTCAGATACGCAGACCGACGTACTCACACCACTAAGATGCAATCCAGTTGTCAATTCATTTGAATTTTTCCTGGGTGTAGAGTAATTATATAGTTTATTCCATTTTAAGGATGAAATGCTTTGGCTATCAGGCAGTTGCAAGCTTGAGGAATTTGAATGCTGAAATATTGGAGATTGTGGTTCCGCCTTGCACCAAGATGAGGAAGTGGATCTACAAAAAGAATGATGCGTATAATTTAGACAGATAACCTAAAGTTACGACACAACCAACGTCTCTGGAGAATTCTGATATCATGAATCTGTTGGCAAATAGGTAATACTTATACAGTGCTGCACTGTGTGATATTGTCTGTTATCTCCAAGACTATCATGGTTCTGACAAAGTAGACACAATAGCTTTTGAAGGATATGATAGATTTATTTTATCTTGGTCAACTGCATACAACCTCAATAAATATGTTCTTATTGCGTTATTCAAGTTTACCAAAAGAAATAACTGCATATAGTAGACACATTAGTTATAAGCAGAATACCACTCTCTATATTCTCACTGCGAAGTAAACATAACTTTCCAGAGTGCCTCGTAAACGCAAACTTTAAATGTTAAATAAAATGTCTGGGTCTAAAATAATAAATGTGGAAGCCATTCCAAATACCACCTGATGATAAAAGTGACACACATATTCAGCATAAAAGATGCACGTTACTGGTACGTCTGGAAGACTGAAAAAAGTATTACAGAGTGAACGTGCTGACCAAAGTAAGACAATTCACAAATCTATCAACGTAGAAGTAATGTGGTGCAGATTCCCCCTCCCCCTAATGTGTATGAAAACACCATCGAAACTATGACAAAATACCTATAAACAAAGAATGAGATGAACGAAATCCTCAAATGGTTCATATCAGTGCGAAGTCGTCATTTATTGTGAAGAACTCGTATACGACAGCTCGTAATATTTACTAAGCAATGTTCAACTGTTCTACTTTCTTAGTACAATTTAATTATGCATTTCATTAATATGACAAACATTTAGTCATTTCAAACTGCTTATTCTGGACCCACCTAATCATTTCAGTGAAATTAAAACGAGATATCACATGTGCGAAAAGTACTAACAAATGATAGTCGAAACACAACCTATTCCGTATATTAATCTACAACAAAATATGGAGACATTACAGTGGGAATTTTACAAAACCACTCACTCGGATGATGGATACAACTTGCAGACAATGCAATACAAACAATTGTTTATTTTGATAGCTGTGAAGAAGGCTTGCAAGTAAACCGGACATGTATTCTCACAATTCAGCCAACTGATGCAAGCTGTAGATGACCCATTCCCGATAGCTGAAAAAAAAGCGAGTGTAACTTTATAATAAAAAAAACAAACATGAGAAACGGTTTTGTATCAAGTCGAACTACCTGAATATTTTTGTCAAAGTGGGAAAAATGATGCTCAATCTAAGATGACGGACACTATGAATAAAAAAATTGAGGAAATTTCATATGACGACAGTACTGTACATATATCCTAGGATCCTAAGCGCACCACCGACCTATGAACTTACTCTATACACTCCAAATCAATTGCATGTTACAGTGTCTACACAGCAGCATTAATAGAAAGGAATATAATACTGTTTAAATAAAACTCAATATTATTCTAGCTTCATAGATATACATGATAAGTATGTTTTTGTTACTCTTTTTTAGTGGCACAACTGACTATACCTTAGTTTGGACTAAGTTATTATGAGGATTTCACCATGAGCTGACATCAGTTACAGAACAACTGGAAAACCTTGGAGTACTGGATATCTGTTTCGTCCTAACCTGAGACTCTTCATCAGTACGCACCCACCAACCTAGAACCCTCTGGTTACAACAGTTGCTGTTAGCAATAGGGGTACTTATTTAGTGGTGACTACCAAAAGGAGACATGATACGCTCTCCACCATAATCTAAACTCATCAGCTATATTTATCGGTATGTTGGAGTGTAACTATATTTCTAATAAGACATACATCCTGTCAGCCTTTAACGCATTATCTACCTATTGTCTGATGGATGATTTCATTAAAAAAAAGTAACAAGCTTCGTATCCAGTAAAACTCACTTTCTTGTATAGCATGTTTAACAATACTTTGTTCAGGAATAGTAACAAAATCCCCGATATGTCTGTTCAATAAGTCTTTAGCAGTCCATCCCAATATTGATGAAGAACTAGTTGCAAGATGATTTGTTTTATACAAAAGTGTCAGACAGATAAAACAAAATCAGTTAGATAAATTGACTGAAACAAATGTTAACATGCATCATAAATTAAATAAAGTGTGATGGTCCACGCTGATAAAAGTATAACGAAAGATATCCAACTGATAGCACTCAGAAGCAAATAGCGTAACGCTGGATTTAAATACTTACCTCTTATTCTGAGACAATGAATAATAAGTGAAAGTAATTCTTGTGACCGATTGTACTCAACTATACCGTCACAGAAAACAATTCGCAAGCAATTTCTTTACTAAAAGACCACTGTTCAGAAGAAAGGAAGAATGGTAAACTGTTGAATGGTTGGAGACCGGTGAAATACAAACAACATACTACTCAAAGCTCATAAAGTTCAAAACAGTAGGAAAACATCACAACACCAGTTGACGTGATATTATGGGGAACGCACTAATCCTAGCAAACCGGAGCGTCAATAGTTAGACTGAAGATGACTGATTTCTGGCAAGAAGTTGGTACAGAATATACCAACTTCAAAGCTATCAGCAGAGACAGTAAATCTACACGCTATCCAAGGAAAACAATACAATCAATGTGCTGCAGAAGGATAAAATGATTATATTTTTAAGGAACTTTAATGGGAAGGGATGCATCATTACATAATACACGACACTTCTGCCCAATGAACAACAAAAACAATTACGAAACAATAGCATCCTAAAACTGTTGACATGAATTCATACAAACAACAGGTATGGCTATTATTCAATAACAATATTACAAGTGATAATGATCAACATGTGTCAAAGTGAAAACAAATAAGTCACTTGACAACAATTACCTACATCATTCATATTACCATAATGTTTATTGATTTCAATACTGTCTCTGAGTTAAGATGTAATCTATGAGCACTTAGAAACCCGGGTGTTTTGCATAAACTTGACCAACATGTTTATTGACTCAAAATTTATCCAAATTCGTGATTCTCATTCCTAGTGTATCAGATTTCACCATCAGCCTCGATATAGGATGAGAAACTCATCATGCACAAGGCCTACGACATACCGATACACCCTCTCAAAATTTACTATCAATCATTTATCAAAAATATGCGTCAAGTAAAATAACATGACGACAACAAATGATGCTGCTTCACTTAAGTTAAATTACAACAAGTAATTAATATGGGCTCTTGTCAGACAACCAGCAAAGAAAGACGAATTCTCAGAATATTTTTTTATTTTGTGTGTGCAGACAATAAAACGAAACAACAATATTTTTTGTTATTTTTGATTACAGCTTGATTCCACACCGTATTTTTTGGTACAGGTATGGAATTTTCAGCATGTGATATCAGGAGCCCAAATTTTGCAGGCCGACCATAGATATCAGGTGTGCGACGGCAGGGGATCGGACCCCGGGCCATGTGCGTGGTCGGCGATAGTCCCAACTACTGTGCCGCCGACGAACTACTAAGTACTCCGCCCAGACCGCAAAAGGTATAGTACTTCTCAGAACCATACTCACAACTGGTTTTCACTGACATCTGTAACAAGACAAATCTCCCGCAATGTACGGATCTAGATCTAGCATATCAAAGAGAAATGCCTAAGATTCATTCTAATGCGACAAATCAAGCATCAAATTAGATGTATACCTTCACCCTACAACCTCAATGTTATGAAGTTGTGGTAAGTGCTACTTAGACAATGTATGCAAGTAACATACCGATGAACATTCCCACAATAGTAATTACAATTTCCTATACATATATTCAAACCTTAAATGTTGAAAATCTCGAATAATTCCAGCACCGAGTCAGGTTGAATTATTAGAAAATTACTTAAAACAATACGAGAGTGCTTTGATTTCCTCATTGGTCTGGAGTATGCAGATGATTGAGTCCCTTCAGCTGAGGACTCAACATACCTCAAACAAAACTCTAAGTATGTTCGAGATGCGATCCGCCCTCTCCAAATGCAAGATAACTCTACACAAATAGTCTAAAGAGACTGCTAGTTTAAAGATATGAAATGTGAAAGGGTTATGTAAATTGACCACATCACTCATTTGGGAAGTTGGATCAGACTGACGAAATTTCAACATCAATACAAAATGATCACCGAGTATTTGCTAACATGCATAATCTCTAACACACTACCAATAATCCCAGTATACATCAAATAACGTGAATTATCTGCACCACTTCGTCCCCATCCTACTCTACAACACTGTACATTGAAAGCGGTGATACGAAAAGGTGATTTTGGTCATACGTGCCTCAATTCTGTCTCCTCTCGTCAGACGATTAGTGTACTGAGCAATAATTAGGTTAGACATGCAGTGTTGGCTGGGTAGAGGAGGTCAACTGATTACATTATGCTACTCCGTCAACTCACAGGAATGGCACGTGTATCACGGATATTTATCCGCCACCTTTCTCAAAGAGCAATCTTGGCTGAAATAGGATTAGGTTGGAAAAGATCAAAACATGACATCAGTCGATCAAGTTTTTGACTGTTGATTTGAGCCATGCAAAAAAGTGCAGACTGTCTGACAGAGGTCCACGGAATGATAAGAGTAGAATGTTGGAAACTATTAGTGACATTGCTCAAAACTGCTTTCGATAGCACAGATGTTCAACTTCCCTTGTACATTTTTGCAGATTGTGGTTGCAGTACACTTCTCTCCTGCACTTTGTGTGCTTTTTCAAAGTATGGCTATTCAGATGCATAAAGTTTCATGCAAAGTTCTGCGTCATGAGTAACCACGGAAACACTTCCTCTGACGTTTCTTATCTGACTTATGTTTCAGAATTTAAGTCAAATACTGTGTTACTTAAGACATCTGTCTATATCGATCATCGTACGAATAACGGAAAGGCAATTCAATTGGTGGCTCAGCTCCGTTCTAAGTTCTCGCAATCCACTATACCAGCCACTCTATATCAACTATACATTCAATCACCAAGTTAATCACCATTACACTGTACTCACACAAGAACGATTTACGGTTTGCTAGACGCAGGACTGGTTGAACAGGGTGAGGAGATTGTCAGCGCGTGACATGATGTTGTGGGATAAAGAATAGTTGTGTTTGGTTTACACCAGTCAGAGCATCATATCCCCTTGAATGGAATTCAAGAGAACATGTGATTCACTGATTTGGGAGGTTGTCAGCTGAATAAACTGTTTAATAATTGACATTATACAGTGATAAGTGAAGACCGTTATACAAGAATTAGCTATTACAACTAGCACTTATCAAAGATAAAAGCTTACTTTCCAACAACTTCTGTTATGCATAAGTCATTGCTCCCAATACGTAAAGTGACATGATCAGCGGAACTAATAGATTTTATGGGCGAACCATACTTTTCAGTTTGATTCGCCTGATTTTCAAGCTGTACATTTTCAAAGACTGTTGGACAGGCCATATCCAGTGGCCGACAGACACCACGAAATAAAGCATAAAAATCACAAAATTCATTATTTCCTAAATCCAAAAGAATAATGTATACAATAGTATGAAAAAACCGATGAAAACATAACGAAGATATCATTAAAAACCAAATTTACATGTTATTACGTAACAAAAGGTCTCTTAGAGCTTAATTGAAAATATACAGGGTAGAGAGCCACATGAGACTAACTCCAACCCATTGATATTCTTTTGTGTAAGAGTGTCATAAATTACCCAAAATACATCTCACCAGTAACAATAAATTGTCCGAAAAGAAGAAAGTCTAACTTTTAAATAGCCAAGATGGATATTCCAACGGAATGATAAAGTCTTTGAAAAATTGGGAACAATTAGTCCGCAGATTTTTCACTTAACTTTGAACTTTTTTTAAAGATATACATTGTTAATAACACTTTATTTGATACAATGCATCGTATGTACCCTGTGTATCTCTTTAATACACTGAGCCTTAAGGCACACAATATATATGAATGCTTATGATGATACGCATCTCCCCGAGGTGATGTATTTGAAGCAGGAATTCAAACTCAGGCCTTATAGTAGACCACTTGAGTTGCCTACAGTGAGAGAATTATAAACATTGTCTTCGATGACAACTGGTAGCAAATGTAGAGACTGAATGAATACATTTTAAAACATCCTTCAGTCAAAATGAGCAGCTGGTCGAAAATCAAAATCACATCTTGATATGTATCCACATAATATGTGTGTTTGTTTTTGACAGTCTGTTATATTTTGCTATGTATATATGGATCGATATTCCATTATAATTGACAATATGTTTTGTCTGTCCACTAACTAAACAAACATATCTGACCTTGTTGTCACATGGCATTACAACCGATCATGTTAATATAGCAAAAATATTCATTCAGATATCTATAAAACACAAAATAATTGAGCAAAGAATATTCTTTTCGATAAATTCCTCATCAATCATGTTAAGACTGTCTATTGATTCGTTCATTTTTGAACATTCGTTCATACACTTGTGTGACATTGATTTTCCTTGTTTGAAAAATACAAGTATCATCGTGAACCTGGTGGTTTTCTGATTTCCGCTTTCTTGCGTCAGGACTATTAATTACTCGACCAGTACATAACACATCTACCAATATTTGAGACGATTGCTAACATGATCATTAACCTGTCATACAAACAATAGCAACATACCACCTGAATATAGGAACATGAAAATTTTTTTAAAGTGTGAACAAGACAAGTAAGTCTGAATATTATTGTCTGGGTGTGCTATTGTTTGAGTGGATGAAATGTTTTTGAAATAACCTAAGACTTCTATTTGCTTGTGAAGATTTAGGCTTCACTAAATTGGAAATCAAACTTTCAGCAAAGAAATATCTCGCAACTTCACTTCAGAGCTGTACATTATTTTTTTGAGATTTATATGTACGTACTCCTTTACCTCACTAAGCCAGTAATAAAGCTGGTAAGGAGAGAAGGTTAGGCATGAGGCTAGCAACCCCATCCTGTAAAAATAAACACTGGTACAGCAACTTCAAGCCTTCTAAGCTTGAAGCCCTATGTTCCACTGGGAACGTGAAGGAAAAAAAATATCTACAATGTTAATTGACAACACAGTGCAGAGGTTATTGCCATTTAGTAACAGAATAAGTAAAAGTGAGTGAGAAATAAGAGTGTGTGGAAAACAGTGAATAATCTAACACGATCGAGAGAATTGATAATTAGCCATTGAAGCCATGAATAATCATTTGAAAGTAGTTGATATGAAACAAGAGAACAAAGGGTTGAAAATAGGTTACGTAAGATTAGTCACTGTTTTTCACACATTGTTGTTTCTCATACACTTTGAATTATTTTGTCACTAACTGATAATCACTTCTGACCTTTGTTGTCAGCTGACACTGTAATATATAAAAGACTTAATAACCGCATAACTTTAAAGTCAGTTTAGGACTTGCGGAATACTGACCATGTGATGTGATAACATGTGACGAGTTATTTGAAACAACTATGGTCAATCTCATACTAGCATCAAGTGTAACATCCCAAGTTTTAAAATGGGAATATGGAAAATCATGGTATTTTTACAGGCCTATAACGCATTACATGATTTCATCATGAGCTGACATTAGTTAGGGAACCATTGGAAAACCTGGGAGTATCGGACAGCTGTTTCGTCCTAGTTGGAGACTCATCAGTACACACCCACCGGAATTCGAACCCAGGACCTTCTGGTTACAAGGCGAGCTCGTATACCATTAAGTCACTGGGACCCAATCCAGTGGCCCATGAATTTCTAGTGAGAAGTCGTGACCAGTAGGGTGCAGCAGATCGGGTGTGAGGACAAATACTCGCCAAAGACATTGGCTAGCGGTTGTACTATATTGTGAATTGTCAGAAGTTAGAATTCATGGGCCATTGGATTGGGTACCAGTGGCTTAATGGTCCAAGAGCTCGCCTTGTAACCAGTAGAACCTGGGTTAGAACCCCGGTGGGTGCCTACTACTGAAGAGTCCCAAACTAGGACGAAACAGCTGTCCAGTATTCCCAGCTGGTTTTCCAATGGTTCTCTAACTAATATCAGCTCATGATGAAATCATGTAACTAATCAAATCCCTACAAACCAACACTTGAATATTATAACGCATTGCAGACTGAAGACTAAAAATAGAGCAAATGATATAACTTGGCATTTGTCTTTAGTGTATTCTGTGAAAAAGGCAACCAGTTCAAAATATTACAAGAAATTACCTATCAAAACAAAATCAAATACCTGAATTAAAGATTTAATTAAACAATTAATTCACCAACGCGTGAGAGGAGAATCGATTGGTTGAATAAATAAAACCAAATGGTTAAAAAATAAACATACTCTGATAGACAATATCACCGCAGAATTCAATGAACCGATATAACTGGCCATCAGATCCCCGAACGCAATTTTTCAACGGAATACTAGGTCCACAACGCATAGCAATAACAAAATTGCGAGGAATAAGTTCTACAGGTACAAAAAATAGTACGGAACAAAATGGCCACTAAGAGGAGTCAGAAAATAATAACTAAACAAACACTTCACCTTAGACAACAACCATGAATAAACATAATTTGAAATACTTGACGCTACATACCACAGATTGGTTGATTCATTGATATGAGTGGTTGGATACCAATTACACCAACCAGGAGTGCTTGCTAGCCAGATCAAAGCGATCTAAGCACCAAACGGCCGTTTCGCTCTTTTGGAGCCGAGTACATCAGCGGTGTACCCGATTTGATTCAACTCAAATCACCCGAATTCTCACTAGTTAACTTGGGCAAAATACTAATAAATTAAATCAGATTTGCAATGTGAGCAGCTCAAGGTGAAATTTACTCACAGTTTCCTTTGGAAACCGAAATTATTCAGGTTACAACGTGTGACCTGCTCGATAGCATAAATAACAATCAAGAAAGTAAGCATGAATGCATGACACTATATACAGCTGATTAATCGATATGAGTAGTTGAATACAACTCTTGACAAAACACTTATGGTATCAAGCAGATCACATATTGTGACCTCAATAACTTCGGTTTCCAAAGGAAACTGCGTTGAAATTCCACCTGGAACTGTGTAAATTGCAAATTTGATTTAATGGTGTAATTCGAAGTGTTAGTTCGCCTTGTGGCGAGTGCTACTGATAAGATTTACCAGTAGAATATATAGAGATGTTCATCGGCATAAAACATGAAAAAGCAAGGGGATACATTTGATGTCAGAGAAGGCAAATGATACAGCGTTGTAGAGATATATGGGAGACGTGGAAGAAACACAATATGTAGGCGAGAAATACCACAACACGAAGATCTGTGCAAATGGTGGGTTGAAGATAAAGTGTACATAATTTCGCCATATAAAGATACCAATTTCAAAATAAACATCCCCCTACCAAGTCTTCATCTTCTACCGTTAAAACATGTTGTTATTTATTCATATGCAACATTACAACATTCTTCATAAATATCAAGAGACTCAAGGCTAAATAAAATCCTGATCAATGATAAACAGAACGATTGTCTGGCATAAACAATTTAAGAAAGATGGACCTTTCCAAGTTAATTAAATAAATGGAATACGGCGTCTACTTTCGAATTTTTCAAACCAATATTCCTCTTGAAATATTGTCTGTTTAATGAATAAAAGTTAGTGTACATGGCTGAATTTTGTAAGATGTAAATCATATGAAATTTCGTATACTGGGTGAAAGATAACACTAATGGTATCAGAGATAATCATTATACCCGACAGCTTAAACATTTAAAGATGAAGCAGAATTAGTAACTCTCACATATCCGTAAAAATATCAATGCCTAGACATTGTGTAAATGTTTGTTGCACAGATAAGAAGTACTTCACACAATTATGACTAACGGTGGTACGAAGATACTATAGTGATGATAGAAACAGCTGACGAATCTCTCTGATATTTTTAATTTTTAGCGACATATCAACTTTTAAAACCCATTAGTAAACAAATCAACTTCAACACCAGCTTTTTGACAATGACATAATATCTGGAACAGATTAAGTATTATCATTATTATTATTCCCTTGAGTTTCAATTGAGACACAGAGCTTCAGCAGCACATCACCCTGTTGTCTGCGGGGTGTCTGGCTCCACGGCTACTCAAAAGCTTTAATCTCCTCCATTTCACCCTCGAACAGCTCAGTTTGTCGTTTCTCATTTGGATCCCAATTAACAACCTGCCTGGCGTGTGATGCTATTCAGCGGTCTTCCCAGCGCATATCTAATCCATTTCCATTCCCTTCATCATATTTGTCTGGGTAATAGGTTGTTGGTTAGTTCAGTGGCAGAGTTCTTTGTTGCTTATGCTTTCTTGTTGGAAATCTGACCTTCATTATCGAGAGAAAGCAGCCTGTCGGAAGCGCTTCTTGTGACGCACCAAGTGTCTGAACTATGTAGAAGCACTGATTGGATATATATAACCCAAAAATTACCTTAAATTTTTCCCCTCAACTACGAAGTCGACACGCTTGACTAAATCAACGAGGTCAAATCACAATTTCTTACATACACAGAAAAAAACGAATCAAAATAGAAAGTCATAAAAACATCCAGAAGTTTCAAGTAGTTATATGCTTCCCAATAACAATTAGAAGCTTTTATTAGTCTTCTAAGGATTATGAAACGTTGTTTTCATCCAATTAACTATAGAACAAAGATGTTCTGCATATGAAAAAAACAGTCATACTGACTTTTAGTTCCGCCAGCTGATAATTCTTTGTTAGAATGCTTTAGTCACGTAGGAAACCATTGGTCTGCTTCATTAGATTCGTATTTAGAGTCAGTATAAAAAATGTGCTATTGTTTTTAAGCAATTTCATGAAAAATGTGACCATACACCATATACGTCACATGATATTCTGACAAATAACTCATCAGGTTAACAAATGCTCAGAGAGAAAATTTGCCTTTTTCTTAATTTTTTTTAAAGTTTCGTTTGAACTTTAGGCTGTTAAATTATATCTTCAAATCAGCAGGAAAAGTTTAAACTGGCTGTTTTATCAACAAACATGAGATCTCAGAATGGACGAACAATAATTATATTTTCCAAAATGGGTTGTATACGAGTGAAAATAAATAGTCACAACTTGTACTGTTCGATACAAGAATCTAAGTGAGCAAGGAATGTTTGCTGTGATAATCAGAGTAAGCAAAAATTCCTTTCATTGTAGATTAAGTAATTGGCTTTAATAAATGAATCGCTTACCTCCATCTTTTGCTTGTTGCATTTCAGAACCATAGAACATGAGGCTATCATGAATAATACGTTTGGTATTGCTACTTGGTTCAGCTACATCATAAAGCGTCTGACCTACAAAATTGGCCTGGAAATGATAATGTCAATATATTGTAACTGTGAAGAATATTAGTAATTATATACGCCTATGTAGGTTAAGAGAATTAAGTTATATTCCAAAACAATACTAGTAAAGCTACATTTCATTTATCCGGGAAGACAGGTTGGTTATATGACCTTCAGATAAGAGAATACTCCTTAAATGATAACCAACAATATCTTCAATGTAAGTGTAGAACGTTGGCACTTTCGTAGAATGTTCATTTTTAAATACCACACAGTGATGTAGTATTAACAACTGGATGACGTTTCGAGCATAAATTATTGCTCATAATCATATCAATTTTAGTCACACGGTTTCACAATTTGTCTTATATATACATTTTTCTCTATTCTGTCTCTCCAACTCTCATTTGTTATTTGTTTCCACTTTCCATATCTCCGGTATAAGCGTTGCGTCATTCCAATTGCATATGTGTGCGGTGTTGGATCGATAAACAAAGCTTCAGTGGTTACATGATTTCATCATGAGCTGAAATTGGTTAGAAAACCATTGGAAAACCTGGGAGTACTGGACAGCTTTTTCGTCAGCCTAGTTTGGGACTCTTCATCAGTACGCACCCACCGGGGTTCGAACCCAGATTCAATGATTAACCTCTCTATCCATCTATCTATGTTACTTTTTAATACTCTCATCCTGTGATTGCTTGCAAGTGAATGCAGTGCAATGGCTGGACTTTTTTCTAGATTATTTATCAACTATTCTAGGCTTATCTAAATTTTTATGTTCCGATAGTCTAGTTGACCCTGATCTACTAGTCTGACCTATGTAATTGACCTCTCAGTCATTTCATGGTATTTGGTAAATTATATTGCAAAAACAGAGGGCAAGACACGAAAGCCAAAGTATGTTTTTCGCTAATCAAACCTCTGTTTATATAACTACAGTTTATATTCGTTAACTAATCACTGAGCGTATGATTTCAGTTTACATTAAACGACATGAAATAGAATGTTCAAATATACGCAGTATTCTGTAGCCAATTCAGTAGTATTGAACTGTGGGAACATGTGAGAATAATATTCAGTTGTCACACATTGTGTATATCATACCACCGCAATATAATTTTTCCTAATTGGATCTTTTGGATCCTTAAGCCGACAAAGTTTATCTCTGAGACAGTTGGTTGGTTTAAATGCCACCCTAATTCCAACCTCATTGAGAATCGTAGGTAAAGCCTCTGACTTTCCTTCTTTATACGGCATCACTAGAAGAGACTTTGGATTCTATATTACTTTTGTCATTTTTATTGCTAATCTTAATTTTTCTTTCGTTCTTCATATATATTTTTTTTGAATAAACTCTGGTGGGCAGTTATTCACTAGTAATATTTCCTGTATTTATTTGATTTCGCTATTTAAATCTTCTGGCTACTAGTCAGGCTCTTGACCGTATTGTACGGATATTTAACTAAACCCATCTTTACCAATCATGGATGGGATGAATTAAAGTCTAAGTACTTATTAGAGTGTGTGTGTTGGTTTCCTATAAATGCTAGTATTTAACCATCCACCGCCTTGTTTTCGTCTTATTGTACAGTCTAGCATGGCCAACTCATCGTGTTCGTTTTCTAACTCAAAAGTGAATTGATTTCCGTCTATTATTGAGTTTAAATGTGTGAAAATCTGAGGGATATGTTCAGATTTCAACACAGTGATGGAGTGTATCATCCCCATATCTCTGCACCATAAACTAGGACCAGGATTAAACGTTCCAAGAGCCTTGTGTTCCCAACTATCCATAAATATGTCTTCTGCTATTGGGGATATTGATGATCCCATTGCCACCCGATTCCTTTGTTTATATAGTTTATTTTGAAATTTGAATACAGTGGAAGTTAAACATAACAGTAAGACCTAGCATTATTTCATCAACCAAGAGCTTACTCCTACTTTCGAGTTAAGGATCAATGTTCAGTTCATTTCCTATTGCCTCCAGAGCTGTATTAATGGGAATATTAGTATATAAACTGGTTATGTCGAAAATAATCATTTTTTCATCTTTCATCTTTGCGATCAGAATGACTCAACGCTTATACCGGAGATATGGAAAGTGGAAACAAACAACAAATGAGAGTTGGAGAGACAGAATAGAGAAAAATGTATATATAAGACAAATTGTGAAACCGTGTGACTAAAATTGATATGATTATGAGCAATAATTTATGCTCGAAACGTCATCCAGTTGTTAATACTACATCACTGTGTGGTATTTAAAAATTAACTTATCTAATATAGAATACAAAAATATCTTCCTTTAGATAAAAATAATAAGGAAATTTTATGACCTTCCGTCCATATACGCAATTATTCGCATATATGTCTCCAGGTTCTCTATAATTCGCAGTCTTTTTCAAAATAAGAATATTAAGTCGAGTCGCCCATAGATCAAAATGTAAATAAATACTACTACAATCCGAATACTGAACAGTAGTAAACACACGATGGAGAAATCATGTGCTCAAACGAAGCCTACTTGATGCGATTGTTTACTGTTACCAAGTAACAGATTGAGCTGAATAAATAATCACGGGAATTTAACTTGCTCAATCAAGTTTTTCGAAGATTAATGATAAAAGTTTGATGAAAATTTCGCTTCCTATTTCTTTTGAAATTCTGTCTGTCCGTCTGGATTCAACATAGAACTTGGCACCGAAGTGCACCAGTTCGAGTTGCCACGTTCCAAATAGCACACAGAGGTAGACAAGAAGATGAGTGAAGAGAATCAATAGAGTTTGACAAGTATAAGAGTGAAACAGAATGGGTAATGGTAGAAAGGAATATGAAAGATTACAGAGACTGAATACATCTGCGCTGGCCATTGACAACGATTTTGAGCCATGTCACCTATTGTCTCCAGCCATTGATTCCTAGAGTCCCGAGGGCCCCAACCCGGAGTCTGCATCTCCCTACCTGACTCAGTTTAACTGTCAAGGATTTCATGGATTGATGCCATGTTTTTGTTTGGCCACCACTGGCTCTTTTCCAACCTGAACCTATATCAGCTAGTAATGCCCGTCGGGGGAGGCGGTGGTTAGGCATGCGCAGCACGTGACCTAGCCATCTTAGTCTATGTAACTTTATAGCCTCGTCGATTGATTTTCCCTCTTTGCCCAACACTCTACGCCTAACGTCAACATTACTTACCTTATTAAACCACCTAACGTGAGACAGAGATCGCAGACATCTATGATCGAAAGCAGTCAACCTTTTCATGTCTTCAACGCGTATTGGCCATGTTTCAGAGCCATAGAGAAGGACGGAGCGAACTGATGAGCAGTACACACGTCCCTTGGTTGATAACCGGATGTCACGCCTACGCCAGAGATGGTGTAAGTCAGCGAAAGCAGCTCGAGCTTTTCGGATCCGTGCTGAGATTTCATCGCCAATCAGTCCGTTGGTGCTAATACAACTTCCCAAGTAGGTGAAGTGGTCAACATGTTCTATCACTTCACTCCCTATCACTAAGTTAGGGTTGACGTGGTCCAGTCCTGTAGCAGCATCTTACATTTTGTAGGGGCGAATCGCATGCCAAACATACGAAGATTGCTGCTCAAGGTGTTCAGAAGACTCTGCATTTTGTCAGCATCCTCCCCTAACAGGACTATGTCATCTGCATATTCTAAGTCCATAAGGCTATTCCCTGGTAACAAGTCGATTCCTAAGTCATTACGTTCAGTTAAGGATACTTCCATCAGCATATCTATGATGAAGTTAAACAGAAATGGGGAAAGTGGACATCCCTGTCGGACACCACTGGTTGTTACCAATTCAGATGACAATTCCCCATAAGCCCTTACACGACTACGTGAGTTTGAATAGAGTGCCTTGATTAGTGCAATGTACTTTCTTGGCACTCCCTTCACAGTCAGACATTGCCATAGTACCTTTCGATCCACGGAGTCGAAGGCCGCCTTCAAGTCAAGAAATATGACAATTGTTGGACGCCGAAAAGTGTGTCTATGTTCTAGAATCTGTCGAAGAGTGAAGATATGATCTATGCACCCTCTACCTGGTCTAAAGCCTGCTTGATTTTCCCTTGTCTGTTCCTCCCGAGTTCTGCTTAGTCTATGCATGATTACTGAGCCTAGGATTTTAGAGACTATGTTCGTTAGGCTGATCCCCCTATGATTATCACACGAGGACTTGTTTCCCTTCTTGAATATCGGTATAATAAGTGACTTACCCCAGTCTGATGGAACTGTCTCTGATTCCCAGACTTTGCCTAGTACCTCAGTTAATCTACAAACTAGTATGTCACCCCCATATTTAAACACCTCCGGAATAATTCCGTCGGGTCCTGCCGCTTTGCCTCGTTTCAAATTACTGATAGCTTTTGTAACCTCACTTACAGACGGCGGACCAGTGTCTATATCCCATTCGGGTGTGTGGTGGATGTCGGGGAGGTTCAGTGTGGCTGTAGGCAAGTTAAATTGTCCTCAAAGTGTTCTTTCCAGCGTTCAAGGCGTCTATCCTGAGAGCTAATTAAGGAGCCATTTTTCTCAGAAATAGTCTCACTTATGATTGCCTTCTCCCACCCGTTTCCTGATGAGTCTAAAGAGTTGCCTAGTGTTGCCTATCGCCGATGCTTTTTCCATCTCTTTTGCCTTTGTCAGCCACCACTGTTCACGGTCCTTGCGGAGACTTTTAGTAAGTTTCCTTTTGTGCAGCTTTCGCTCCTCATTGAATTCGGAGCTCGCCGGAATAAGTCTTCTAGCATCTATCAGTTCGGATGAGGCAGTCGAAATCCAGTGGTTTTTACTCACCTTTGGATTTGCCTTATTCACAGCTTTTACAGCTGTATCTATAGCTGACTGAATATTCTTCCAGGCTTCTTCAGGGTGAGCACAGCTGTCGAACTCAGATATGCGTTTAGCTAGTTCTTCCTCAAATAGGGATTTAGTTTCCTGATCGAGCTGGGGACGTGATGGTTTTACCGCCAGCTGTTTCCTACGTCCGTTCAGTCGTAAGCACACACGAGCCCGGACCAGTGCGTGATCGGTATCTACACACGTGTTCCAGAAGGAGCGACAATCTCCTACCGACCCACGCCAACGATAGCTTATTGCTATGTGGTCTATTTGTGTCCAGCGTTGGTTTGATGATGGGGGTCGCCAGGTTAAACAGTGTCTCTCCTTGTGTTTAAAGTTAGTGCTTACAAGAAACAAATGATTATCTGAACAGAACTGTAGGAGACGGTCACCGTTGTCGGTTCGCTGGCACGGAACTCCATAGGTGCCACCGACATCCTTCTCAGATTGACACAATTTCCCTACTTGAGCATTAAAGTCACCAGCTAGAACGACTATATCTGAGCGTTTAGCCTTTCGCACCAAACTAGACAGCTTTTGGTAGAACTCATCCTTCGTTTCATCCGAACTGCAGTCAGTGGGGGCGTAGGCGGAGATTACGAAAAGGCATCGGCGAGTAGTGCAGTCCTTTCTCCTTCTTACTGATCCGTTCAGACGGACAGCACACATTCGGCTATCTTCCGGGATCCAGTCAAGCAATGTCTTTTCTGCCCTAGTACTCAAAGCTATCCCTACGCCAGCTAATCCTCGTGAACTAGCTGTGGCATCTCCTGACACCCTCAAGGTGAATTTTGAAGATTCATCCTGTTGGCCAGGTGGGGTTAGGTGAATAACCACACTTGGGTCTTGTATGCGTGTTTCTGAAACACAACATACATCAATGGCTCGGGATGCCAGGGTCTTAGCTAGTGATGCTTGTTGTCCTATTTGGCAAAGTGTCCTTTGCCTGTGTCTTTTGAAATTATGTAAAACACATAAATAGCATGAATACATGACTCGTCGAGCCACTACACAATGAGGCGATAAATTCATCTGAACCATGGTCATTCACTTAGCAAATTGTAGTCCAAATCACAAAAACTGAAACAGGAGACAAAAATGCACTAGACTACGAGCCATACTCTGTGTATGCAGACTAATAATACCACCCAATCACCTAGGCTGAAGTAGGCACAGAGACATTCAAACTCAGGATCCATTCGTCGGAAGTGAAGAACTAAAGCCACTGATCTACATTTCCAAGAGAATGAATTTATAGCACGTCTTAGACTAACCACCTTTTTATTCCTTCCAAGTTGCTTATCGCTTCCCCAGCTTAAGATATAGAAGTGATGACTAGGTAAGGGTGAAATATTAATTAGGTGCCTTAGGCGATGGACATTAATAACTTCCGAAGCTGGCAGCATATTTTAAAAACAGTTATGAATCGACTGACAATCCCCGAAGCCACTTCGGTAATCTACACAAAACTACTATTTTCGGGGCAATGATTGTTAACCAATCAGTGCTTTTGGTTTAGGCTGTACGCATCCTAAAAAGTATACCAAATGACTTTATCAACCGAAGTAGCTCTATTTGAATGCAAATTTAGTAAGACAATTGAAAACCAAATTCCTAAATTATGAACGCAAAGTTTTAAATACACTTTAAACTTTATTGCACTTTTTTCTGTTGCGAATTACGGAAGAGACCAACTGAAGAAAAAACAGTCATTGAGACTAACCTGAGGAATGTCAAGCACTTTTAGAACATTCTCTTCATGCAATATTTCACCATCAGAACATCTCAAGTGAATAGCGAAACCATTAATAGTCTAAAAATTAATATTTAGTGCATGTTTAATCTTACATTCATAATTATATGTGAGTACTCTTCATCATTAATGATGTACTCTCGTTTCCCTAGTTTATCTAAATAAAAATAAAAAATTTTAAGTATTGTGGAACAGAGATATTATATGAACATACTACCATAATGAATAAGTCGTTCAGCTCCAGCAAGAAAGATGGATAGTTTGTCTTTACACTGGGAATGTGGCACTTGACGGTGAAGAAATTCTGTTTCCAACTTCATTCGTTCACGTCGTTTTCTTTCTATTTCACTATGACTCTCTCTGCATAGTAAAGAAAACAAAAAAGAACTACGGAACAATGGCATCCTAAAAACTGTTGACATGAATTCATACAAACAACAGGTATTATAGGTTTCCAGACCGTAGGTGTTACGAATTTGCTGGAATAATTTGAGCGCCGAGTCAGATTGATTCATTATAAATTATTTAAATTAGTCCCAGTGTGTTAAGAAAATCAAAACAAGATTTTTCTGAACGTTTCGCCGTTTAAGCCACAGCTTCTTCAGCAGATTTATTATTTACGACAACGTTCAGAAAAATCTTGTTTTGATTTTCTTAACACGCTGGGATTAATTTAAATAATTTATAATGTAACAACAGGTATGGCTATTATTCAATAACAATATTACAAGTGATAATGATCAACATGTGTCAAAGTGAAAACAAATAAGTCACTTGACAACAATTACCTACATCATTCATATTACCATAATGTTTATTGATTTCAATACTGTCTCTGAGTTAAGATGTAATCTATGAGCACTTAGAAACCCGGGTGTTTTGCATAAACTTGACCAACATGTTTATTGACTCAAAATTTATCCAAATTCGTGATTCTCATTCCTAGTGTATCAAGATTTCACCATCAGCCTCGATATAGGATGAGAAACTCATCATGCACAAGGCCTACGACATACCGATACACCCTCTCAAAATTTACTATCAATCATTTATCAAAAATATGCGTCAAGTAAAATAACATGACGACAACAAATGATGCTGCTTCACTTAAGTTAAATTACAACAAGTAATTAATATGGGCTCTTGTCAGACAACCAGCAAAGAAAGACGAATTCTCAGAATATTTTTTTATTTTGTGTGTGCAGACAATAAAACGAAACAACAATATTTTTTGTTATTTTTGATTACAGCTTGATTCCACACCGTATTTTTTGGTACAGGTATGGAATTTTCAGCATGTGATATCAGGAGCCCAAATTTTGCAGGCCGACCATAGATATCAGGTGTGCGACGGCAGGGGATCGGACCCCAAGCCATGTGCGTGGTCGGCGATAGTCCCAACTACTGTGCCGCCGACGAACTACTAAGTACTCCGCCCAGACCGCAAAAGGTATAGTACTTCTCAGAACCATACTCACAACTGGTTTTCACTGACATCTGTAACAAGACAAATCTCCCGCAATGTACGGATCTAGATCTAGCATATCAAAGAGAAATGCCTAAGATTCATTCTAATGCGACAAATCAAGCATCAAATTAGATGTATACCTTCACCCTACAACCTCAATGTTATGAAGTTGTGGTAAGTGCTACTTAGACAATGTATGTAAGTAACATACCGATGAACATTCCCACAATAGTAATTACAATTTCCTATACATATATTCAAACCTTAAATGTTGAAAATCTTCTCGAATAACTTCAGCACCGAGTCAGGTTGAATTATTAGAAAATTACTTAAAACAATACGAGAGTGCTTTGATTTCCTCATTGGTCTGGAGTATGCAGATGATTGAGTCCCTTCAGCTGAGGACTCAACATACCTCAAACAAAACTCTAAGTATGTTCGAGATGCGATCCGCCCTCTCCAAATGCAAGATAACTCTACACAAATAGTCTAAAGAGACTGCTAGTTTAAAGATATGAAATGTGAAAGGGTTATGTAAATTGACCACATCACTCATTTGGGAAGTTGGATCAGACTAACGAAATTTCAACATCAATACAAAATGATCACCGAGTATTTGCTAACATGCATAATCTCTAACACACTACCAATAATCCCAGTATACATCAAATAACGTGAATTATCTGCACCACTTCGTCCCCATCCTACTCTACAACACTGTACATTGAAAGCGGTGATACGAAAAGGTGATTTTGGTCATACGTGCCTCAATTCTGTCTCCTCTCGTCAGACGATTAGTGTACTGAGCAATAATTAGGTTAGACATGCAGTGTTGGCTGAGTAGAGGAGGTCAACTGATTACATTATGCTACTCCGTCAACTCACAGGAATGGCACATGTATCACGGATATTTATCCGCCACCTTTCTCAAAGAGCAATCTTGGCTGAAATAGGATTAGGTTGGAAAAGATCAAAACATGACATCAGTCGATCAAGTTTTTGATTGTTGATTTGAGCCATGCAAAAAAGTGCAGACTGTCTGACAGAGGTCCACGGAATGATAAGAGTAGAATGTTGGAAACTATTAGTGACATTGCTTAAAACTGTTTTCGATAGCACACTTGATTTTTCTCTTACATTTTCGTCTATTATATTTCCATTACACCTCCTTCCCCTTTGTGTGTTTTTGCAAACTATGGCACCTTAACCGATGCACTTTTATGAAACGTTCTACATTGAAAATTGGGTACATTTTGTAACTATGTACACCATTGTTTTGGTGTGAGATGGAGTGGCCTATGACACCTAATCACGTCAGTCTGTCGCCTGATGCCGAAACCAAAAGTGAAGCTACTGACAGTTGAAAGCAGTTTCATACAAGTTCCTTGTTATTCTGTAGCCTACTACTCCATATGTCTTAAATATTGATCTATTTTATTCCTTCACGTGCCAAGTACAACATGGCACTAATCTAGCACTTTGAAATTCCAGTAGCAGTGGTCTTATATTTACGGGGTGGAGCTGCTAACTTTATGCCTAACCTTCCCTCTTTACCGGCATTGCTATCGACTTAGAGAGGTTTAGGAGTGCATCGGCTGAGGATCGAACCCCAGAACACGTGAGTGGTTGGTGAGCATTCTACCGCTAAACCAACGACGCGTAGCGATTTGTGGCCATTATGCTTCATAGCTTTGCCCTACCTTGTCTCTCTGCTTACATCTTTCAGCTTTTTCAGATGAAGAGTAACACCAATAATTTAACCATCAAATTTTATGTTCGGACATTAGATAAGTGAGACAAGTTCTTGGGTAATCAAAATATTTCATCTTTTCTTAAGGGTTATATCAGGATTCTTTGTTATCAGTAGCAGTCTTACTAGGATCACTTTTTTCCAACTGACACTCTAGATTAAGAAATACTTTGGAAGCTATTCGTGTAGTACCACGCCATCATTTCTCAACTGATGTGATCTCATTCGGACTTCATGTACACCTGGGCTAACCTACAAAACTTTAAATATCATCCACTTTCTTTAAACTACAGTATAACGAAAACATGGTCAGAAAATGGCATGACATTATGAGACGGTTTATTAAGACTAGTAGGCACTTTTAGTGTGTCACATCTCCTAATGTGAAGTCCATCAAAGTGAACAACTTAGTCAGATGAGATTTTATCATAAATAGCCCAGAGTCGAAAAGAATAACAAATTTAAACTCACCCAATGAAAATCTTGTGAACGTTGTTGTGGAAATGGTTGTGGCAATTGCTCTGTTTATCCCTATCATACATTATATCTGGGATGTCATTACTATGCTGTTATAATACTTAGTTTCGACTATATTTTGATGTTTGTATAAATAAATAGCGATAAAAATGAACCAAGGTACTTTATAACCCGATATTTCAAATTTGGAACATTCCGTAAGTATGGATTCTTTGATACACCTGGAAAATAGAGGCTTACGGTTTGGATACTTGACAAAGTAGATCACAACACCTTATATAATTTCGAGAATCCCAATCTTCAGAAGTCAATAATAATATAAGTTTCTAATGACTACTGTCGACCAATGTAAAATATGAGGTACTTCTGAGATTACAAAATTAATACACCGTCTGTGTATTCCAAGAAGTATGCAGGTGTATCGCCAAATAAACAAGCTAAAAAGCTGAACACTTCCTCGGGAAAAAGCGTTAAATAACAACTCATCAGAGAAAAATAAAACTGAAATAGAGGTCTTGACCCAGTTTATATCATAACTTAAAGTGGAATAGATATATTTGTCATTCTTATGAGTTCTGGTCATTTATCGTAGTTTGAAATAAATGAAGTGTTAAAAATAAAATCTTACTTCTGAAGTTTTTCTTTATTTTGTTTGCGAGACATCTGGTTTTTCTCCATGATATTATTACTGATCCTAGAAAAATAACATGATTTACATAAAAGAAATTGTAAAGCAGCACAAATTTATGCCTAATTAAATAGCATGATGAAATATGCAAGCTTGCATATGAAAAGACAAACAGAAAAAGCTTAAGATAAGTATCTTCACGTCCCATACAAAATCAATTGAGACGACGGTTTACAAAGCTTTTAACGGGAACCTGCGAAAACACTGGTCAAAGCGACATATGTCGGTCTACGTCACATTTGATTTATGTAGCTACAATGTTAGTCTGACGAAGGAAGGTAATTCCATTATAGATAAGATAAGTTTTGTACTTATATCAACGAAGGAAGGTAAGGTTTACAGAACCTTAGTATGAGCAGTTTTGTTCAGATTGAGAAACCTGGCCGCACCAAACGAAATCGAGGTCTGGCGGAAAGTGTTTAAACATGATGGGAACTTACTTAATGAGCATTGTTATCATGCGAAATTAGCTTTGGTGCCTTGACTGTGTCACAAAAGTCAAAACCAGTAGAAATCATGCCGCAGCTTTTCTGTTTCTTCTACTAAAAAGCAATACAAAGGAATGGAAACCACCTTTGAATGTACATCATGAAAATGTTTTTCTGTTTATCATGTCCTTGGATCATCGTTGTCCTCCTTTTTGTCCCTATATATTAAACTATTTTTCCATTTCCACATTGTATGAATTTTGTTCCTAGGTGTATACATACTTCTCAAATAACTTTTAAAGTACGAAGACTTCTAGGTTACCCATAACTGTTTGATTTTAAAGGAAAGTCCAGCCAGAAAAAGTAGTTTACATTTAGACTATGCAAATCTCATTATGTGCTAGTGAACACCGTTAGTCAACTGAAACTTGACTGGCTTCCATGATGTCGCACTGTAAAACGAAATAATACCTATATGGCTTTTGGATAGATCTACACACCTATTTATTTCACACGTAGATTTGTTACATCCACATTTAAATGTATGTGGGATATTGTTTCGACAGAGTATCTCATGGATGTAGTACACATAATAGTTCTTAATTGTTGTTGTGAACTCTTCTTATAATACGTATCTAGTCATATTCATATCTCTACCGCTATTAACACTCTTTTTTTCCTTTATATGTTTAAGCCATTCCGGCTTCATTGTAAAATGAATAAAGCCTAAATTCTTGGTTCATTCGTCTTTTCAAGATTCAAGCATCACTCATCGTTCTAAGACTCAATCACCTTCGTAACAATTTATTCATTTTACAATATTCATGGAACGATTTTTCCGACCTGATCGGTTCGACGTAGAACCTAACGCAGTTGGAGCTGCCAAGAAGTGGGATCACTGGTTTGCGACTTTTTCCTACTTCATTGAATCAATGGGATCCGAAAATCCTTCGAAACTACATATTCTCTTCAATCATATTTCTACTTCTGTATACGAATGCATTTCTGAATGCAAAACATACGAAGAAGCTATCGACACTCTCAAGAGTCTCTACATGCAGCCTTGCAACGAAGTGTTTGCTCGACACTTGTTAGCAACGTGTAAACAAGAATCTGGCGAAAATCTGGATCAGTTTGTTCGTCGACTCAAGTCGCTGACTACAGATTGTTCATTCAGGGCAGTTACAGCCGAAGAACATCGTAACGAATCTCTACGTGATTCATTCATCTCAGGTATACAGTCTTCGATGATACGCCAGAGGCTATTAGAACAGCGTACTTTAACTTTTCAAGCGGCATACGATCAAGCACGAGCTCTAGAGATGGCACATCAACAATCGCAGTCATACAACAATCCTGTTACACCTTGCGCGTCCATTTCTTTACATGATGTACCTCATTCATCAGATTCCACACCCTCCGTCAATGAAACAACCATTGCTGCCGTTGAATCCAAATGCTTTTTCTGTGGTAATCGTAGACATCCTCGTTCCAAATGCCCCGCCCGTGATGCAGTTTGCAAAGCTTGTGGCAAGCAAGGACATTTTCAGAAGGTTTGCAGGTCTGCGCCATCTACGAAAAAAGGTCCATCTTCAGTTAACTCTATAATTTCATCTCTCGTTGTGGCTTCAGCACCTCAAAGTCTCACTGATGCTGTTACGCAGCTTACTGTCAATGGGAAATCAATGCAAGCTCTAGTGGATACCGGAAGCAGTGAGAGCTACATCTCTTCCTCAGTTGTTCGTAAGTATAACTGGAAAGTCCATAAGTCTCGAAACAGAATCACAATGGCGAGTACGAATCTTACTAGTCATACTGAAGGACATTGTTTTCTATCCATCTGCTATAAAAACCACACTTATGATCTATTCAAATTTTCCATTCTTCATAATTTATGTGCAGACGTCCTTCTTGGACATGATTTTTTAAAACTTCACAAACACATTGAGATTCCTTTTGGGGGATCAAAGCCGCCTTTTTCTCTCTGTGGTCTACCTTGTGTTCGCGTCGACCTGCCTACTCTGTTTGAAAATCTTTCAAAAGACTGTAAACCGATCGCGATAAAATCCCGGCGTTATTCTCGTGAAGATGAAAGTTTTATTTCCACCGAAGTCAACCGGTTACTGCAAGAAGGTGTTATTGAACCTTCTAATTCTCCTTGGCGAGCTCAAGTTCTTGTTACGTCAAACGAACGCCATAAAAAGAGGATGGTAGTTGATTATAGTCAGACAATCAATCGATTCACTTTTCTGGATGCTTACCCATTACCTAGGATTGACGAAATGATAGAAAAAATCGCACAATATGACATATTCAGCACTCTTGATCTGAAGAATGCTTATCATCAAATTGCCCTAAGGAACGAAGATAAACCATATACTGCTTTCGAGGCTTGTGGGAAACTTTACCAATTTTGCCGAATTCCTTTTGGTGTTACCAATGGCGTAGCTTGTTTTCAACGCATTATCGATGAATTGATCAGTAAAGAACAACTCACAAGCACGTTTGCCTACATTGACAATGTCACTATCTGCGGCAAAACTCAGGAGGAACACGACAAAAATCTAAACAAGTTTATGGTAGCAGCACGCAATTATGGAATAACCCTTAATGATTCCAAAAGTGTGATCTCAAGCAGAAGCATACAATTACTCGGTTATGAAGTTTCAAAGGGGGTTATTAAACCAGATCCCGATCGGCTAAAACCTCTTCGTGATCTAGAACCACCCACAGATATCAAATCTCAACAACGGGCCGTTGGATTATTTGCTTATTATTCACAGTGGATCCCTCGCTTCTCAGATAAAATCCACCCATTGGTAAATAATCGGATTTTCCCTCTTGATATCGAAACTCGAAATGCTTTTGACAAACTGAAAGACGACTTAGAACGTGCAGTCGTTGTGGTAGTTGATCCGAAAGCACCCCTTGTTGTTGAAACAGATGCTTCAGATGTCTCAATTGCAGCTACATTAAACCAGAATGGTAAACCTGTCGCCTTCTTTTCTCGAAGCCTCTCTCGAAGTGAGAAACATCATTCATCGGTTGAGAAAGAAGCCTATGCCGTGGTTGAAGCAATTCGTAAGTGGAAGCATTACCTTCTCGGAAATCACTTCAAACTTGTCACTGATCAACGTTCAGTAGCATTCATGTTTGACAAGATTCATAAAGGCAAAATCAAGAACGATAAAATAATGCGTTGGAGAATTGAGCTATCCCCTTATCAATATGACATCATTTATCGTCCTGGAAGGGATAATCAAGCTGCTGATACATTTTCCCGTAGTTTCTGCGGTTCCTTGCAGTCAGTGTGCGACTTGAAATTTCTCCATGACTCTATGTGCCATCCTGGAGTTGTCCGAATGATGCATTTTGTACGCTCGAGAAACCTTCCATTCTCCCTTGACGAGGTGCGCAATGTAACCAGTAAATGCGTGACATGCTGTGAGTTAAAGCCTCAATTTTACAATCCCTCTAATTTCAAACTCATAAAAGCAACCCAACCTTTTGAAAGGTTAAGCATCGACTTTAAAGGACCTCTACCGTCAGCTAGCCGCAATCACTATCTGCTCACGCTGATCGATGAATATTCTCGATTCCCCTTTGCATTCGCCTGCCCCGACATGTCGTCTCAAACGGTAATGAATTGCCTTTGCCAACTGTTTTCGATTTTCGGTATGCCTTCTTACATACATACCGACAGAGGCGCTGCTTTCATGTCTACCGAATTACGGGCATTTCTTCTGGAGAAAGGCGTAGCAACCAGTCGTACTACCTCATACAATCCTCAAGCCAATGGGCAGGTCGAGCGCCTCAATGGAACACTTTGGCGTGCCATCACTCTAGCATTAAGATCACGGGGCCTACCAACGGCACAATGGGAGTCTGTTCTACTCGACGCCTTGCATTCCATCAGATCTTTGCTCTGTACTGCAACGAACGCCACGCCACACGAACGACTGTTTACCTATAACCGAAGATCGACATCTGGGACAACTCTTCCTACTTGGCTCACTGTACCAGGACCAGTACTTCTCCGGCGGAGTGTTCGTCAGTCCAAATTCGATCCCCTGGTTGAAGAGGTGGAGCTATTGAATTGTAACCCGCAATTCGCTCACGTTCGCTTCGGTAATGGACGTGAAGATACAGTTGCTCTTCATCATCTGGCACCCAAAGGCGAAGATATAGATCAAGTTGAAAATTCAATACCGGAGGGCGACGCAATTCCTGAGCAACAAGTAAATGGGGATGCGACCACTGATCCTAATATTCTTCGTGAAGAAAATACAACTGAAACGAACAACGGGCGTATTCTTTTGGAAAAACAACAACGTGTACGGCCTTACAATTTGCGTACCAGAGAAGCGTGACATAATGGCTCATTCCTTTTCAAGCCGCAGTGAATGTTGTGAACTTTTCTTATAATACGTATCTAGTCATATTCATATCTCTACCGCTATTAACACTCTTTTTTTCCTTTATATGTTTAAGCCATTCCGGCTTCATTGTAAAATGAATAAAGCCTAAATTCTTGGTTCATTCGTCTTTTCAAGATTCAAGCATCACTCATCGTTCTAAGACTCAACCACCTTCGTAACAATTGTAATGGGATTAGTCTGTGGAAGATACCCAAAAAACTTTACACAGCAAGATTTCTGTTCCGAAAATGACATCATCAAAAAATTTCCATATTATTAGTTTTTTTAGAATACACAATAAACACTGACCATAAAGAATTAGCTTGAAAAAGGGATAAATAACCAACTCAATATGTACCATAACTGTTGGTTTGAGTTGTTGTACATTAATAATCCGTTTACATGCACTAGGAATTCAATTTAGCCTAGATGGATATATTTGTAGTTACTCTCAATAATACTTCGGATTTTTTTCAGTAAGCTGATGTATTTGTAAGTCTCAGCAACTTTCTTCTGCTCACAATTATAAACTGCTTTCCCTAAAAGTCCACCGACCCACCATCACTATACTATCCACCCTGTGCATAATTCGCAACTCTTTTCTGCACTTGCATGAATAAGTCCTACACTAAACACATTCCAGATTCATAACACGAAAAATACGTAGCACTGAAGGAGCATTCAGTATGGTGAAAGAGTTCAGCAAGAAATATAATTCAGTCAAAATGAGCAAGCAGTGGAAAGCTACTGAATATGGGCAGTCCACATTGTATGGCAGTTCAACGACCCTTCGTGGTGTTTTACAGACTTTATACGATAATTTCACGACTTCTCCCTTAAGTATATACATGCCTAACAATCCGAATCATGTAATCCTTTCATCTAGTTGCATTCGGAAACAGAACATTTTTTCAACAAATTCACGTGCACTTATGATTTTTCGAATACGTTCATTAAGTATATTCGTTAGCATACTTCGTCAATGACGCAAAAATATAGGGTCCTTGAAACCTTTGTTCTAGCATATGAATCTCATTCGCATAACATTGAGGGGTATTTATAGTACAAGATACACTGTAATTTTACCCGCAGTCAATCTATAAAGTAGATGCATTGATGAAGTCATAAAGCTGTGAATATCAACAAATATTTTTCCGAGAATCCTTAGGTGAAAAGGAAAGCCAGTGTAATTATGCACATTGATTCGCACTATTCCTAAAACTACTGTAAGTACCGATGAAAGACCGGGAATCACTAGTCTTTTAGAGGCAAACAAATGGGTAATTCGTTCATTCAGGTCATGCACTACTTATATCCTCTGCAGTCCATATCTATCAGGTGGCATAATTCCGTCATGAAACAGCCCATCGCAGTTCATCATATAAATTTAAAATACACGCGGGATACATGCATAAAACACATCCTAGTCTGCGTAGCTCCACAACTTCACCGATTGACTTCGCCTAGCAATCTACACCTAATTTCAATATTGCTCAACAAATTATGCCATTTGACATATGGGATAGAACGCTAGCTTCTTCACATTTTCCTATTTCAACAGCTATGTCTCACAGCCATAAACCGGAGATGCATGAATTAGTGCACAGTACACACATCCTTTGATGGGTAGCAAGATATCACCTATAAATCCGGTATATTTTTAAACTAACTTGGCCTAAACATCCTCTGAAAGCAACTAAACTCAGAATATTTACTGACAAATTCTTTTCCATGTAACAAAGGTTCGTAAAACAAACAGTTCTTCAATAATTAAATATTTGGCACCTAATGAGGATTGTCTAAATTGGTGCTCACAAATACCAATGGAACTTGTCACAACAAGCGCCGAATAAGTCCAAAACACCAACTACATAGTATATAACAGTTATGTTCAAAAGAATGGTTTTGATAATATTTGGAATCGCCAGATGATTAAGGTTCATTTTGGTTTCGAATTCTCGGAGATGAGAGTTATTATGAACCTCATCGTTAACTCATTTTAAGTGACACTTTAGGACAGCTTGAAGAAGCACTGAAAGTGCTTAATAGTGCCAATAACATAACCTCGTTGTCAACCAACTCTGGACTTATACCATTTTAGCAGAAAAATCATGTTCAAATTTAATATAATAATGAATTATGTAATACGACAAATAAACTGATGAAATTCATGCAAAGTGAATTTCCATCTATTAGGGAGAACACCATGTTTCTGTTTTCTCAGCTTGATACATTTAGGCAAACAAGACAAGAAAATGTTATCTAAACCGTAAGGTTTGTTTTCAGCAATGAACTAATGTCCATCATAGCATCTCTTTCTTCTGACTTGAGTATTACCCATGTTGGTCTCTGTTGGTAAAAAGCGATAATCAATTATACGCACCTAACGCCACTAAATTATTACTTTTTTAAGAATCTCAGGAACCATGTGGTGGAGTTACAGCAGGAAATGTAAAAATCATTTCTAGTTTGTTATTGCATATTAATTTTACCTAAACCTTGTAAATTAGCGAAGAATCGTGTCAAAGCTAGCAGAAAATTAATTAACACAAAAAATCTGATGCTAAGTCAATTGAAATTGCCGAAAGGTAAGAATTACTGCAGTGTATCTGCAACGCTACACGTCACTGACAAATGGATATCCTCTAAATGACGAAGAATACCCCCTACACTTTCTAGGGTTCCGTGAACCATTTATACTAGGCTACGTTCAGATTTGTGAAGTAAACCACAGAGCGATACCACCGATGGCACACTTGATCACGATTGGACCAGGCACACATCGAGAACTAACTACTGTTCCCTAGCTGAGTCCGAAATACAAGCCGCCGTAAATTCAAGAGGCCGATAACTCGAAAAGAAAAACTATGACTATATGAAGCCACAGATTCACAGTTTATGCAGTCTGATGAATAAAACGCTAAAACTAACAAGACTCTGTAAAGGTATTTCTACCTTCTGAAGGAAACTAAATTCCAGATTCCATCAGTGACTCCAACGCAATAATTGACTACGTGGACAACCCATGGGTTACTTTGAAATTACTAACTACCATGAAATTCTTGATTTTTGAAAAGTGAAAGTATAATTCAGCCCCAGCCATGAGAGTAACTTTATTTGGATGCAATTTTTAAAGTTATTTGATTCCCTGTCGAACTGGAAAGTAGACTGCTTAAATTGAGTATGCTTGAAGATCTCAACTACTTCACGAGTGTGGCGAGCATGGGCTTCTGACTGACCTCAAAATAATCCGAAACATTACAACAGACTCTGTAATCTCATCAACACACACCATTCCCCTCGTCACAAGAATGGATAAACAGGACTGCATCACCCCCCTCCCCCTAAACCTATAAAATTATATTTGTCTAAATTATTTATTTTATTTATTTTGACCACTTTATCTTTAATTTACGTGTTATTCTTGTAAAATTAATTTATTCTATCCATTTCCACCTTTTAAATCTGTATTTATTTTCTTCGTTAACTATTAACCCATTGACACCGTTTAATTATTGTTAACAAATTTATCGCAACTTGATTGGCAAACTTGTATTGTAATTAAAATGCTATATATATTAGAGTAGAGCCAGAGATTAGGATCTAATTGAAAAGCAAATATTTCTTCGCTCAATCTTTCTGTTTTCTAAATGCCTCAGTAATTACCCAATATCCCCCACATGACATTTCCAAATAGATTCAGATAATAAGGATCGTACGTTCTTGCAGCCTGTTATTCCTTGCAAATATATCTCTACAGATATCTAACTTCTCTTTGAAAGCATTCACTGATGAAGCTGATACTAATGAATCAGGTAAGGGGTTCCAGTCGTTGACTACTCTGTGAGAGAATCTAAATTCCGCACGTATTTTAATCGTCCTCAGTTTCAGCACCTTTTCGTGGTGACCCCATAAATGTGTCCTAAGAAGGGAGAAAAGGTTAGGAACGTCAGTTCCTAAATCACTATTTAGTATACGGTATGCTAGAACTTGAGTCACCTCTCTTACTTCGCTGATAACAGGAAGATTTAAATGCTCCATCCTTTTGTCATCAACGTGTGAGATACCAGACGAAAGTGAAGAAACCATTATCAACGGATTGATAAGCTAACATTATCATTGCGGAATCGCACGCGTCTTTGCAGTACTGACGTTGAAATATTGACAAACATATGTTTATCATCACACAGGTGATGATAATAACTAGAACGCTTTTCGTTCTAAAGTAATGCGTGTCAGTGCTGAAAATGATCCGCGAAGGCTTTAATTAGGCTGAAAAAATTGCCACTATGTGCTGAATTAAGTCTTTTCGTTCTGAATTAGTGCTAGTCAGTGCTGAAAATGATCCGCGAAGGCTTGAATTAGGCTGAAAAAATTGCCACTATATGCTGAATTAAGTCTTTTCGTTCTGAATTAGTGCTAGTCAGTGCTGAAAATGATCTGCGAAGGCTTTAATTAGGCTGAAAAAATTGCCACTATGTGCTGAATTAAGTCTTTTCGTTCTGAATTAGTGCTAGTCAGTGCTGAAAATGATCCGCGAAGGCTTGAATTAGGCTGAAAAAATTGCCACTATATGCTGAATTAAGTCTTTTCGTTCTGAATTAGTGCTAGTCAGTGCTGAAAATGATCTGCGAAGGCTTGAATTAGGCTGAAAAAATTGCCACTATGTGCTGAATTTAGTCTTTGCTATGCTTAAAAGAAGAACACGGTTCTGAATTAGCGCTAGTTATGCTGAAAACTATAGTTTTCAGCATAACTAGCATAACTAGAACTAAGTGCTATAGCACTTAGTTCTAGTCTGTGCCACTAAACAAACGATTTTAGAACAAATTCAGAATTTACTCACTATAGGATGCAGGAATTATTTCAGAATTACTGAGATTTAATTCAGAATTATAACAAGCTTAAGCTTGTTACCCAATTGGGTATGATGCCAAACCTGTTATAAGCCTTACAAAGGTTGGAGTGACAGCGAAACTACACACCTACAAAGAATTTAAAATACTGCCACAAAAATGAAAACGTGCTATTATCTTGAAGTTATCCGACTTTTCTCTGTAAACACACAAAAATCCCAGAAAAGATCACTCACTGCGTCGACCTTGAACCAGTCCAATTGAGCGCCCTGAAATTGACCTTCGGAAGCTTTGATATATTTAGTCCCCTTAGTGAATTTGAATAACGCAAGAACAGCATTCTTTGCAGAATAAAATGATGCTATCATTTATCTCGTTGGCTACTCATCAGTTTCCTACAGCTCATATTTTTGCGCGCTGTTTGAAAGGGAGTGCTTTTTTCACGTATTTCACGTTTTTGACAAATCGCTGTTTTGTTGTGTTATTCACTTCAAGAACATTTAAAAAAAACTTTAACTTGACTTTTGTCTGTTAAGTTTTGATTTTAACCACTTATATAGTCTATATTGGGTAAATTGTCTTGGCTGTTTCCAGTAGAAATTCATCATGTCAAAAGTACCACATAAATGTAATAGGGCGGAGTGTTACTTTTTGGTAGATGATGGAATACAGTGTAATAACTGTGAAAAATGGTATCATAAGATGTGTACTGGATTACGTCCAGCTGCATACAAACGCTGTACTGCTCCAACATCCCACTGGATGTGCAGAATGTGTTGCTCTCCAAAGATGACCTTAATAAGGGAGGCTCACGAACTGCTGTCTAAAGCCATGGAACTTCCTGATGATAGCGTGGCTAGTAAGAGTGACACGGACTGCCCGTCTGAAGATGAAGCAGTAAGTGCCATCATGAATGTTATCACACCGGCGGTTACTATCCCAGTTACCCCGGAAGTAAAACCTACTAGGCGTTCGAAGCGTCTTAGTAAGCGAAAAGGTAACAAAACGGAAGCTGTAAACAGCACCTCAGAACCAGAGAACACCGTAAGCGAAGTTCACCATGAAGGTGGCGCAGACACTGATCTTGATTGTACCATCAAAAACTGCAGCAGCCCTGAGAAGCAACTGCAGGCAGATGATAAATGGGTAACAAAAATAAGCAGTCGAAAGAAATATAGTAATATTGATGGTAGGCAAACGTCTGTCACCTGTAGCCAGGCTGCATCAATAGTGGTGAGAAAGGACGTAGCCACTGCTAAATACGACAAGCTCTCCTTAGACTCTAACATAATTGTTGGAAATTTGGAAGAGTCCAAAGAATCTGATCCCGTGAAAAGGCACGATCACGACCTTAAATTAGTGAGTAGTATTATAAGGAAGATGCTCCCAGCGAATTTCCCTGGAGTATCGATTAAAAAGCTGATTAGAATAGGCAAAAGAGATGATGAATGTTCTAATCAGCGTAGGTTGCTTAAAGTAGTCTTAGGTTCTCCTGATGAACGGAATCATCTACTGGCTAATGTACACAACCTTGCCGGGTCAGGAATTTCAGCCAGACCTGATTTATCTCTTGAAGACAGACTTAAACGAAAAGAAGTTTTGTCCCAGCTAGAAACAAGACGCAAAAATGGTGAGACTAACCTTAAACTGGTGGGTTTTCAAATAGTCAGGTCTTGGAAACGTATGCTTCCAAGACCTGTGTGGATAAGCCAGACCGCATAGGAAGCCTGAAGGTAGTGTACACTAATATACGTAGTATCGGGAACAAATTTCACGAGCTAGGTGTATTAGTAGAAGACCTTAGCCCAGGTATTGTGGCCATTACTGAAACATGGCTGGTTTCGGGATTAGATGACACACCTGAGCTATGCGGATTTAGTTGCTTGCGCAGCGACAGAGTTAAGGGTCGTAGAGGTGGCGGGGTTGCTCTGTACATCAACAACTCCCTACATGTTCGTTCCGTGAAATCTGAAGCTCATGACAGTGGGACAGGTGAGGTAATTAGCTGTGAAGTAAGCTTTGCAACCGGCACTCTACTCATTGGAGTTCTGTATAGAAGTCCCTATTGTCAGTGTGATGACTTCATTTTAGATCACCTCAAACAATGGAGTAAACACAGTAGCTGTCTTATTCTAGGTGATTTTAATGCACCTCATATAGACTGGGTAGCTGTCACATCTCCAGGATCCGCTGATAAGTTTGACAGCCGGTTACTCTTGACAACCATGGAAAATGCCCTGACACAACATGTCTTAGGTAGTACAAGATTCGGTTCTACCCAAGGATCTTCCTTGCTGGACTTAGTGCTTACTCATGACAACGACGACGTGGATGGTCTAGTTATTCATCCACCTCTAGCAAACAGTGATCATGGGGTGTTAGATTTTAACTTAAGGGCTGGCAATTTAGTCAGTTTTCAACCCAAATCCCGGCCTAGTGTTTGGCATGCTGACATAGTGGCTATAAAGGAGCGTGCTTCAACTGCCGACTGGTCAGTCAACATTGTCTCATCCATTGAAGATGAATGGGATAGATTTAAGAATACACTTGAGAGGGTTACCACTGATCTCATCCCCTGGAGGGTTCCTAAAAGGCCAACAAATCGGCCACCATGGATAAATAGACAAGCTATAACACTCCTGAGACGGAGAAAAAGGTTCTGGAATCTCTTTGTTTCTACTGGGCTACAGCAGTTCCGGCTGAAATACTGTGAAACCAGAAACCAGTGTAAAACTTTGATCCACCAGTCAAGGATAGCTTACGAAACCCAGTTAGTTAAAAGTTCACCAGGCTGCCCAAAAAGACTCTTCTCATATATCAAGAGAAGAACACGTAAGAGTGATGCTATCCCACCTCTTATGCTTGAAGATGACCAGACAAACATGGCTGAGGATAACTTGACCAAGGCTGAGGCTTTGTCCAAGCACTTTAGTCAAGTATTCTCTGATAATATTGATACCAGCTTTGTAAATTTTCCAGAAGGTAACTTGAAAATGGCACCCTTATACATTGGAAAGGATACTGTCCTAAAGTGGCTTCTAAGGCTCAATCCTGGTAAGTCCAGTGGCCCTGATGAACTCCACCCACGTATATTAACAGCATTGGCTGAAAGCATAGCCGAGCCATTGTCGGTAATCTTCAATATGTCTCTGGACCAGTCTAAATGTCCAAGAGACTGGAAAGATGCCATCATTAGTCCGGTCTTCAAAACCGGATCTAGAAACTTAGTTCAGAACTATCGTCCTGTTAGTTTGACCAGTATTGTTGTTAAACTACTAGAAAGAATAATTCGTGATGCTATCATTCAGTTCATTGAAGGGAACAAACTTTTCGCTGTGGAACAGCACGGTTTTAGAGCAGGTCATTCTTGCTTGACCAACCTTCTTTTGGCCAGAGAAAGTTGGGCAAGCTCAGCTGATGCTAATATACCGGTGGATGCCATATTCATAGACCTTAGCAAGGCGTTTGACAGGGTTTCTCATTCAGGTCTTCTAGTAAAGTTAGGTAGTCTGGGAATCAATAAAGTGGTTACCGACTGGATTCAAGACTTTCTAAAGGACAGAAGACAAAGAGTACGAGTTAACGGGGTTTTATCAACATGGGAATCGGTTAAGAGTGGCGTTCCTCAGGGTACAATTCTAGGCCCACTTCTTTTCCTGATTTATGTTAATGAGATTCCATCGGTAGTTAAGTCATCCTGCTTACTGTTTGCTGATGACATCAAGATATGGAGGGCTTTGCACGATGACAGTGATCAACTTGCTTTGCAGGAAGATTTAAACTTGTTAAGTGATTGGTGTAAGCACTGGGCCTTGGAGATTAACTTAAGCAAGAGTGTAGTTATGCATGTATCCCATAGTCACGTGCACAATTACTCAATGAATGGCATTACTCTCCCAGTGGTCACTGAGTACAAGGACTTGGGAGTGGTTGTGCAGCATGACTTGAAAACAGCAACAAACTGTAGAACTGCAGCCACTAAGGGTTTTCGAATGTTATGGGCCATACGCAAGGCTTTTGCGAACTTTGACGCTGATATATTTCGTATATTATATCCGACTTATATCAGACCTCATTTGGAATATGGGATCCAGGCAGCGAGCCCGTGTTTCAAATACGAAATAGACTTATTAGAAAGGGTGCAAAGAGTAGGAACTAAGCTAATAAAGGGTTTCTCAACCCTGTCATATGAGGAGAGGTTAAGTCGACTGGGTTTATTTCCACTGTCATACAGACGACTTAGGGGTGACCTAATACTAGCATACCGTATCCTAAGAAATGATTTTGGAGCTAATTTATCTAAATTATTTCTTCCTTCTAGCACCAACCAATTGCGAGGACATCACCTCAAGGTTCAAAAACCACGGTCGAATCGTCTGCGTCTGGAAATCCGTTTTTCGCATCGAATTGTGAACCATTGGAACTCCCTACCGGAACATGTCGTATCAGCGCCATCCGTTGATTCATTCAAGGCGAGATTGGACCTCCTGTATGAAATAAATCGAAAGGATTAACACAGGCATATAGCCTACTATCCTAAATAAATTGTAAACTGTAAACTGTAAACACATCATTAAGTTCTGCAATGAACGAAATATTCCCATTATGATACAAGGCATCCAAAGGGAAATTTTCTTCGCTGCTTGCGCCTTTTTCTTACGACATCATTATGCATGCCCACGGAAAAAATTTTGACATTCTTGCACAAATTTCATTTTCAAACAAAAATCAGCATATTCATATATTGATAATTATCACTTTGTCCCGAACAACGATGATCACACAGTCGAAACTTTCGGCATTACGTAATCAGTTGGAGGGGAGGATGAAAATATCTAGTTAGCAGCAGACAGATAACTGCTCCTTTCTAAACGCATTAGTCATGTTTTAGGTGCCTGAGGGAGATCGCTTCGGCAAATTTAAGTAGAACTGCATTCTTTTGCTGCTGAAAATTCTGAACGATCTTGAGACGTCTATCTCATGACTCGCGACAGGGAGATGCCTGGTGATGACACCGTTAAAACCATCTGTTCTTTTCAGACACAGGCATTTTCCTACGTATTCAGAAAATCTGAGGTATGACTCACTTTCTGTTCTTCAATTGAAACTCTCCCAAAAATGCATGCAAATTTGTATACACAATTGGAGTTAACATGAGAAGGATATCTGTCGACATTTGAATACACCAAAGACCATGTTGTTTGATAGGTGGGAGCAAGCTTAGCTGAAGGATAGGCTCTACCAAGTGACGTCCACAGGGTTCTGTTGACTCAAGATGTTCGACCACTCAGTGATTATTTCTTAACCATTATCTAAGTCTGACTCATTATATTTAATATT